GCATCCCAAATACACACACACACACACACACACACACACACACTGTATTAGCACACAATGCACCCGCACTTCTTTTTCTTTTTCACACTGCTATCGTTATTTTTTATGGCACATTCGAACTCTTCTTCACTGCTTAGTGGTGTACTGCTGGAAGTTGTGGGTGACTCAGGAGAGAAGTCTGGTACCCCGGTTCCTTCCTTTTCCCACCCGTCTTCAGCCCCTGAGCCCATTTTACACTCCCCCTCTTCATCTTTCTCCCCTGCAACAATCTTTTTACTACAAGCTATGTTCAAATGTGTAGCCTTAACAACCCCGCCTCCTTTATGGCCACCGGTTTTGTCACTCATGCCCCCACCCCGAGCACCTGATATGTAGTCGTTAGCAGCTGCTATCTTCTGGGCTTCCATTTCTGACAGGCTGCATGCCAAAGCCATCTGCAGGTCTTCGTCTTCCTCGTCATCCTCGCTGCCTGCTGCAACCCCGTAGCTGAAGGAGGGGGCGGAGCTAAATGACCGTGTGGCTGCAGAGTAAGGACTGGGGCGGGGCCTGTCAGACTCCACAGGAGATCTGTTCTGGATTTGTGGCTTCTGAGGCGAGTGATGGGGCTGTCCCTCCCGTCGACTCAGCTCCATTGCGAGGGCCATTTCATCCTCCACGCCTGCGAACAACACACACAACAACACAGGTGAGTATGTGCCGAGCAACATGAAGAAACATTAAACACATTTTACACATTAAAAAAATTAGGACTAAGAGGAGCAACAAGGTGTCAATTTTCAATCACACCATTCAGTGTACGTGGTCTTACCATTAACAAGGACACTCTTTAACACCCCGTCCTCCTCAATCTCGATTCTTTCCTGCCCATTTTCCTTTATCCTGTAGGAAAGACAAAGTGATAGATAAATGATAGCATTAAAGTGCCGTGTGTGTGTCACTGTGTTTGTTACTTTGTCTTATATAAATATAAATGCAGTCTTAATCTTGTAAAAGTCACGTCACCCTGTATTGAAACTTAAATGAATTGCTCTAAGTGATGAGGGATATAATGACAGCTCTACAATCATATTTTATTAAATAAATAGTAATAAAAAGTAATAAAAAGTAATATATAATTCTAAAAAGGGAAAAAAAGATGAAGTTCAAATAAATTTCAAAAGGAAAAAAAAAATGAAATGGTTTGCCACGCTGTTTATCTTGTTTTGTATCTTCGGGTTTACAGTTTGCATGTAAAATGTCACCACACCCTATAACACTAGGTATGATAAAAAATTGGAAATGTCTTCTTTTGTGCCTCAGTGCATTTCTCTATCCAGCAAGCTACGCCCATGTGCCCCAGGTTGAATAAAAAGTCATACTTGGTGGGGTGACTTCTCTAATGTACAGCATTACATACTTCTTGGTGGTGGTGCGTTTGCCATTTATGATGCGAGTGGAGGTAGAAACTGATTTGAAGTTGCCCATCCCCATGCTGTCCATCCCATTCAGAGCACCAAAGGAAGAGGAGAAGGAGGTAAATTCAACTGAAGGACAAATGATCAGGCGAGGAAAGGAGAAGAGAAGAGACTGATTAATTATTTAATACAGAACTGTAGTCTGTTAAAACATAATACCACTCCTGTGTCATAGCCACAGAACGTGTGAATTTAAGTGGGCACGAATGCACAGTGAGATGTCCCAATATTAGCAAAATCAAGAAAAAACAATGTGAGAAGTGTTTTGTCTGGTGAGTTTCACCAGTGAGTAGCCCAGTACTATGCTATGATGTGTATGATACTTTCACTATGCAACTTTCCTCATTAACTGTGTAACTTTTTACCTCCTGCTGAAGGAAAAGAAAAGAAGCGACCGGGTCCGAAGCGAGAAGACGAGCCTCCAAAGGATGAGAAGTCATCTAGATGAGAGAAAGAGTAAACACTTCTATAATTACTTAAATATTTTACTGTTACGTACGCAGATTTATTATTACAGTAGGCTTTCATGAGGCTAATTAACTAAGGAGTGTTGTGGGGAAAACATAAAAAATAGGAATCTAACATACATTTCAACTAAATAAAAAAGATGAATCCATAAGCCCATGTGTATATTGTGAATGACTTACCAAAAAAGCTAGCGAAAGGATCCTGGCCACCAAAGAACTCTCTGAACACCTCATCTGGGTTGCGGAATGTGAAGGTGAATCCTGGGAAATCTGACGAATAGTCTGAGGTGGAGGAACCTGGAAAATTGAGTCGTCAGGGTCAGGTGGGTGACCAGCAACCAGGGAAGAGAAAGAGTGAGAGAGCAAAACATATAAGGGGCCAGAAAGAAGGAAAAGTGAATGAAATGGAAGGTGCAGGGAGGTGGGAGGGAGGAGGATTGATATGATAGTTGTATAGCCAGAAAACAAAATCCTAATACACTTTCAATCCTAAAATGTAGCCTTTAGAAGTCACCACCGTTCATGATTTGCAACATATAAACAACAACAACAACATATAAACATTTCCTAGCAGCAGGTTTTTATTTACCTGTGTGTCGCATTCTGTCATTTCCATATCTGTCATATTCATCCCGCTTAGTCTCTGTAGTAGAAGAACAGAGTACATACTTAGACACTAATACATGTCGCTCTCTTTTCTCTTATACAAACACCCAACACACATGCATTAAGTTTAATTAAAAATATAACTAATACGTTACATTGGCGGGTTCTATGAATAAAGTTTCTCTCTGGGGAGGCTGACATCATCACACAAAGATTCAGATTCATGACTCACAGCATCAGTACAGATCATCATCCGCCAGTCATTTCACACACACACACACACATAAATATTTAAAGATACACACTGTCCTGACTTACTGTCAGAGAGGACTTCATAGGCCTCAGCTACTTCTTTGAACTTTCTCTCTGCCTCCTCCTTGTTGTCTGGATTTTTGTCTGGATGCCATTTCAGTGCCAGTTTCCTGTACCTGAACACACAACAAACATTGGCTCACAGATAGAACAACAACAACAACAACACATGCAATATGGAGAGCCTTGGAAAAATAGGTCACCACTCTATATTTCTGAGAACAATAATATGTATTTTTCATACCAGTGGTTCTCAAACCTCTGTTTATGGTTTTAGTTACATGTATAATGAGATGTTGTAATTTGGGTGTTTTGTCTTTTTCTTGTACATTTTAGTTTGAGACCAAATTCAAATGTGTATAAAATCCAGACAATAAAACTAAAAAAAAATCTTGATCCGGCCTCAAATTTTTTCAAGGCTTATATAATCTGGCCATGTTACAGTAAGTAAAAAGTTACACTTTAAATATATTTTCATGAACTGTATTTTACACACAGGTGGAATATTGCATTATTGTTTATAAATTAGTGTAAAGAGTCATTTGACACTTGAGACAGACTCCCAGGATACTCACGCTTTCTTGATATCGTCCTGAGAGGCTGTTCTGGACACTCCCAGGATGTTATAGTAATCCACCATGTTGCGTCCTGTCACTCCTCACCACAACGCCCCTGAAAGGATAATACAACTGAGTACAGAATATACTCAACTCTGATTGGACACACATATTTTGGATTTATTAAATCCATGTCTCTGAGAACAAACAAGTTTGGAAATTCTTGGTCACAAGGGTATTTCCTGAAAATCCAAAAAAGGAAAAGAAACAGCTCTGTACTCATTATTTATTTAATTTGCTGATGAGTGGTCATATACAGCAGGGGCCGTGTTTGGCTAAAGAAGCCGGCGTGTAATGTAAACATAGTTGTTTATCCTTATGTACAATAAACTGCTGACAAATACAGATTATGGAAACGTGTCATTTCCTATTTTTTGGAATCAAAGGGTCTATAAACACATGGTTCACCCAACCACACGAGCATTTTCACTCACGTTGCCTGTTTAGATCTTTTCTCAGGACTGCGAGGGCGTGAACAGACCTGATTGTCTCCCTCACTATCCTGTTAGTTTCACTACATCTGTTAGATCAGGACAAAGTTTGCTATTTCTACATGTTATTTAATGACATGATGTACGAGCTAATCTGCCAGAGTAATTTAAACACCTGTGTGGTGGGTGATAATTAGTGTCCAAGTGACGATAATAAACTTTCTTCACAGCAGCCATTTTGATATTAAATAGTGCTACCAATGATACACCGTGTGGAGGTGCTATATTGTGCATGTTGGCTCACTGTAGAGGCTCTGCTACACTAAATGGAACAAAAGGTCTATATTTGTTTATTCTCATTTTTGTTTCACAGTAAATTAAATTCACCTGTTTTATTTTATCAGTTAATATGACGATGATTATGGTGTAGCAGCTGTACTGTACGTTACAACTTTCTACACAAGAAATCAAGGTTTATTATTAATTAAATTCTTTTTTTATTAGACCTAGGTTAGCTACAGATGCACACACATTACATGTGTCCTATTCAGTTTTTTTTCTTTACTTTCTAACCTTTTCAAAATAAAATACCACTTAAATACTTCAAAGTGCAATGACTAAGTGTGCCCTTGAAATGATAACACCTCAGTACAGTCAGTGGTTCCATTATAGCCACAGAGTCAGCAGGCTAACCACCATGCCAATCTCATTAGTGGACTTCCAGGGTGGGGGGTACTTCCAAACTGAGGTAAAATAACTAAACTTAACTTTCTATGCCCCCTCGGGAACAGCCATGCACTCACACTCACACAAGTATTATTATTACTATGTTATTTCTAGCTTCGTGGCATCTGACAACTGCTGCTGACATGACGGTAGGCCCACACAAACTTACATACAAGGGCAGATGCATTTGCAGGCACAGGTGCTGTCTATATTAAAGCGCGTACCAGTAACATTAAAGGGTGCACTTTAAATTATTTGGTATTTCGGTTGACAGAATATGTCCTAATATGGTCAAATTCGGACATGTGTAATAATAAACTGCAGTAAGCTGCATTGTCTGTTTACTGTGTGGGCAGCCACAACTTGTCACGACCAGCTGAAGCTATGGACCTACCGTCTGAGTGTCTCAGCCTAATTAGTGAGCAGTTTAGCCGTCTGTCCGCCCGTCTGCAGCGACAATGAATTAGTTATAATAGAGGTGCCTCTGGAATCCGCTCTCCCTCTTCTTTTTCCCGACACACTCAGCCTCCTCCTCCTCCTCCTTCTTCTTCTTCTTCTTCTTCTTCTTCTTCAGTCTTCCTCTCTCCACCGCCCTGACACAAACACTCTTAACAACAACACAATATGTCTGCAGTGTGCTGTGCCGTTACGGCTCCGCGGTCTACTCTACGGTGCCCACCGGGGGAAAAACAAGTGGACAGTCAGCCCTGTGTGCTCTCTGTGTGTGTGTGTCTCTGTGTGTGTGTGTCTCTGTGTGTGTGTGTCTGTGTGTGTGCTGCTGGGTTTAAGCTGCACGCGCTACGTCACTCAGCTGAGCGAGGTAAAAAAAAAAAAATAGAACGTCTAGAGACTCTAGAACGTACCAGTGTTCGAAACGTCATCAGACCAGCCCTGCCTCAACTGCTGCCTGTTGCCCAGCGATAGCGGGGGTTTATAAAAAACCGGCAGTTTGTGATGGTAGCCATGGATACCTATTATGACCAGGCATTCCAAGGTGCGACATAAACAGAATTCCCAAGGATTGTGCTCCAAGTAAGTCCAGTTTTTAGGTTTTTGTTTGTTTTGTTCAATTTAATTCGAGGTGGGTTTATTGACATTGGAAACTGACCTTTCCAATGTCAAAGTGTAAAATATATGTATATACAGATTAGTAAAAAGATGAATAAAAACGTAGACTTGTAGTTAAAAAACACAAATGCAAATAAGTGAGAATTTACACTAAAATGTAAGTGTGTGTGTGTCCTTCTCCTAGGATTATTATTTAGATCATTGAAATCTTGGATTGCAGAGTTTAATTTTAAGTTAAAATACATGTTCTCAATGTTTTACATTGTAGGTGATCCATCATGTTTCAACCTCGCCTGTTGAACAGTGAACACATATTATGTTTTCTTTTGATAGCCGTAATCTTTTGTTTGTTTCTGCACTTTACTTCATTGCATTTATCGGACAGCCATAGTTACTTTACATCTAAAAATAATTTAAAAAATATGATTCATTGTTACACTAAAGCACTCAAGGCTAGTTAGAATCAGACCAATCTATTCTCAACCATCTATACCTTTTTATTTATTATTATAAGTAATAATAATCAAAACACATAATCTGACAGGTAATGTTGCTGCACAAATGCTGCCCTAAAGTATATTTTACTATACTTAACATTTTAAATACTGTTACTCGAAATGGAATATTTTACACATTTCAGTACAGTATATTTAGTAGACCCGAGAAGTGTAACTTACCGGAAAGTAGGCTTTTAGTTCACTGTGTGACTCATCTGGTCAGGATCACATGACAAGCTCATCATGTAATGCTATAGTTATTTGGACTGGTCATGTCTGCACACTACAGTCTATGGACTAAACCAACTCACATAACTTTGCTAGCTGGTCACATTGCTCCCATCTGGTGTCTGGAGGAAGCGACTGCAGGTACAAGACCAGCCCAGCCCAGCCCATTGTGTACTTTGTGGCTAATCATCAACATGACACAAAAAGGCAGAAAATTGGCAAAGGCAGAGGAACTAGAATTTCCTTTGTAAATGAATGGAAGCTGCATGTAAACACAGTCTGATATCCAGCAAAACACTGCTGGAAAAATCCCCTGCCCAAATATTTTGTCTACGTACGTATACAGTAACCCTTGTAATTCTATTACCAGTTTTCTCTCCGAAAGCCAGGTATAATCTGTCACAGTTGTAAAAGTGAAATGCAAAGCTCATTAGTCTGAGATCATTCCAGATGACTCAGAATAAAAGGCTTATCAGTCTTTTAGGCTAGTAAAGTGTTATTATATTACTATTGCTGTAGAAATTTACAATAAAATATTTGTCAAGCAGTGCTTTGCGAATTCAGAAATGATCACAAGTTCATTTAAAAGGTTCATGAGAACTTTTTATTGATAATACTGATATATCATCACCACAGGTTATCAGAATGTTGCTGGGAATGTGTTAAGCTCATGATAACTTTTGGAATGGGTGATGGTAAAGCCCGGATGATGTTTGGCCCCTTAATACTCCTCTCCCTCTTCATCCTCCTCTCCCATGCTGTCAGTGCCGACCTCTTCATAATCCTTCTCCAGGGCAGCCATATCTTCTCTGGCCTCTGAGAACTCTCCCTCCTTTCCCATGCCCTCCCCAACAATACCAGTGAACAAAAGGCTCTCCTTGGCATAACATGGGTCAAACTTGTTGGTCGAGACAAGGCCCAGGCCTCCGGCGATGGCTGTGGTGTTGCTCCAGCATGCACACCAGCTCTGACTTTGGCCAGGTCTCCTCCTGGATACACAGTTTGTAGAGCCTCGGTAGTTGATTCTAACCTTGAAGCCTGTGGGGCATCCAGTGCCACCGAAATGGAATGGTGCTTTGGTTTTTATGGCTGGCGGTGGGCAGTATTGCAATTCTTATGGAGCCACGACTCTGTCTGCGCACTGTACCTTGGAACATTACCGCCAGCAAGACAGCAGGCCATGTATTTACCATGACGACGAGAATCACACCTTTTAACCGCGACTCTGATTTGGCTTGGCTCAATAAGCGAGGCATAGTGGATAGATCAGTGCCAGAATGCAGGTTTGCTCATAGGTAGGGTCGTGATCTCGGTCAGATAGTGACTGTGTGGTAGCATAGGATGGTAACCAAGTGGGAAGTGGATTGATCGAGGTGCATGTGGCACCAAGGGCGATGGCTTGGGGAAGCTCTCTGTCAGGCAACTTGTTCCAGAGGCTCATTCTCGGGCGATGCGGAGCAGTGAATTATGAAGACACAATCTGGCAAATCGAGATGTTCAATGGTGTTTGTATAGGATCTGGGTCCTGTCCCTGCGGATCATCTATACAAGGTTTCCTGCGGCAGTATAATCATTAACTAGGTCGCTCTCAACTTGTGTCCAGCCATTTTGAAGGGCGAAAGGTCAGGAGTTGTCTCGGCCCAGGGATAGTGTGGTGTGGAGGGTTCGAGTGTTGAGTTGGGAGTAAGGCTCGAATCTCTATTGCTGAGTCTGGGCGGATCCTCTGCGGGCGAGGGTTGGACTCATGATGCGAAGAGTTTGTTCACTGTATGTTGGGGAGGTGCATGGAAAGAGGGCCTTTGGGTAACTGCCAAATTCAAGGTTTTTGATTTCCTTTCGTAATCAAAAGAGGTTCTCCATCAGCAGGGAAAGGTGAATCCTGAAGCCAGTTGCGCCTCCCACCAAAAGGTAGTGGAAGATGAGGAAATCCCTGCCAGGGCCAGTGGCCACTGATCAGCTGGAAAGGAAAATTTTCTTTGATTATTTTAAAATCCCACTCCAATGGGGAAGGTTATGGAAACACATTGAAATGGTCACCATTGGGTATTCTAAAAGACTTTTTAGTTTTTTTTACGCTTTTTAAAGGCAAAGTAGACAAGCCTGCCCCCAAATGCTAAAACCTGTCCAGCAAACTAACTAAACTCTTCCACCAATTTACGAGTCTTGTCAGAACCAGATCAATGATCCCTCCTTTGCCGATGGGTGTTAGTGTCCACGGGCGTAGTTGTTGGCCAGCATCCTCCTTTTCCCTGTAATCACGCTCGGGGTGGAACAAGTTGACCGGGGTTCCTGTGCGCACCTCATCTATGAAAGGAACAATTGAAAACAAGAGTAAGAGCTAACGTCCATGCAATATAAATGTTTCAAACATTAACTTTTCTCAGATACTGTAATTACATATTAAACATTTAAACTGTAATACTTTGTTCTTGTTAAGTTGAAGTATAGGGTTTCACCAGGGGTATATATCTTTCATAGAGGTAATGGGCTAATTTATTAGCTCCATGAAAGACACATAAGTTCAATTATATCAACTCAATATTGATTACTGACCGATGACAGTGGGTTCCAGGTCGACAAAGATGGCTCTGGGAACATGCTTTCCTGCTCCAGTCTCACTGAAGAAGGTGTTGAAGGAGTCATCTCCTCCTCCAATAGTCTTGTCACTGGGCATCTGTCCGTCTGGCTGGATCCCATGTTCCAGACAGTACAGCTCCCAGCATGCATTGCCCATCTGGGCTCCGGCTTGGCCGACATGCATAGAAATACACTCACGCTGAATAAAAGAGGGGAGAGAGGTTTGTTACAGGATGTAGCCGAATAATATGTTATCAGACATACATTCACTATCCAAATTTAGGTATAACTGCATTGCCAAGACGAATTGCTTAAAAATAACTCCCATCAGCGTTGAACAGTACGTTCACAATTGCTGACTTTACAGTGTGATCACTGTGTCATATATTGTAACAAATAAGGCGGGGAAACATAGAACATCACAGAATACATATGTATTTCATTACTGCCCTATAGCACAAATGTTCTTTCTTTAAACTTCATGTCTAATGACAATCTTTGGTATGATGTCAGCACTCAGTTCAGAGAGGAAAGAAGAAATGTTGACTGCTGAATACTGTGGGCCAGAGCAGACTGTTGAAGCTGTCAGCTGCAAGAATCACAAGCTATAGCTATAATTCCATCTACCTAGACCCTAAATACAGCACAAAACTCTGTTTGCTCATTCTATCTAACAACTAACAAAACCACATTAGTACTAACATGACCACATCTTTCGGCTTACTGGGATAGTTCAAGCACTCAAGTTCAGAGGATAGAAAGAACAAGAAATAGATTGATACGTCTGTATATCTGTGAGCAGAGCAGACTAGTTGAAGCTGTCAGCTGCTCAAGCGCATAGAAGAAAGACAGAAATTA